TGTGCGTGCTACAAATTGGGTGTTCGGTAGTTCCAATCTATAAACGTCGTATGTAACATACATTCGATAAAAAATAAACAAAATCAAAATAAAAATTTGATTTGTACATTAAAAAAAAAAAATGATAAAAAAGATGCTAATTATTAATTGGCAAAGTCGCATTTAGGTTAGGTTCTATAGTAAAATTTATGGAATGTGGCAGCGATAGAGATAGTTAATTAACCAAGGTATATAATAAATACATATATAGAGATATACATAGTTACGTGGAGTTATAATAGGCATACATATTCACTATAATATTACAAATAAGTTTGCTGATATTCATAAAAAATTTCCTGGCAAGGCTATAATGCGAATATATTCATATATTTCATATATATATGTATATAGATTGCACATGATTCGCTCGCTTGCATTTCGGCAACGGCTCTGCTCGCACACATGCTAAAACCATTATGCATACAAAAATGCTGACGCTATCTCGCTCTAGCGCCGCTCTCACTCACTCGCATGCGTTGTGCTCAACAACAATGTACACGCACACACAAACACACACCGACACGCACACAGACATGCACACGCATTATTTAATTTGGACAATCGGCTAATTACCTTAACTAATCGACCTCAACGAAAATTTTATAAAATATTGTACTTAATACGAATTAATTTCTTAGTATACGAATGAGAAGCTATAGCAAATACACATTAGTTAAATTTTGTTCTACTAAAATACATATATAAATGGGGCTCAAAGTGTTCCAGCTCCATTGTTAAATATCATGTTTAATCACAAAGAGATAATGTTTGACTCTACCAATTGTCCATGCTCATCATATATATTCATTGATGCTTTGTGTATGTGTGTGTATGTGTGTGCGTGCTAAAACCAACAACAATTCCATTTTGTTTCATTTTCACTAAATTCCTTGTGTCTAAAAACGGCGCCGAAACCCCCCTTTTTGAATCCCCTTTCCCCTCATTTAGACCCCAGCCTGCCCACTCGTTGGTCGTACCCCGTTGAAACCCTTGTTAGATATTGCTTTGACGCCTGGCTGCCTCAATCGTCCGATCACTCCTACCAGTGCGGACGTATCTCCTTGAAGAGCCACTTCTGGTAGCCATCGTTCACATCGCACTGACCCAGCGAGAGTTGCTGTGTCGTCGGATGCAGAGCCATGCACTTTTTGTGGACGCGATGGAGCAGATGCTTGGTCTGTTCGTTGTAGCTCCAGGGTCCGTCGACGGTGCCCAAGCGGCAGACGGCCAGCTTAATGCCCTGGCGATCGGCCTCCACGCAACGTTCGCCAACGCCCAGCTGTCCAGCGGCATTCAGGCGCACCAGCTGATTATTGCCACCGCCATGGCAATAGGAGAGGCCCATTATGGCCGGCGGCTGGTGGCCCATGGAGTCCAGGCAGCCATCAGAGGCCACCGAGCGCAGCTCGCCCCAATGCAAGTTGGCTGGCAAAGCCGGGAATTTGTCCACCACATCGTAGGCAATGTTGTCCATGAACCACTGGAAGGACTTGCAGTTGAGGCGCTTCTTCAGCGCCAGCTGCTCGGAAATGTCGCCCATGTCCAGGTAACGCGCCAGCGGCTCACGCGTGTAGAAGAACTCCTTGTGTGTGTCATCGAACCAGGTCTCAATGACGCGCTTGTAGTTGATGGTAATCAATGGACCCTTCTTCTTGCTCGCCAGCTTGCCAAAGTTGTAGGGCATAAAGCCGCGATAGACATGGCCGACGCGGGAGCAGGGCACCCATTCGATGCTGCCGCCACATTGCCAGATCTTGAAGCTCAGCTCAAAGTTCTCGCCGCCCCAGACAAGCAGGCCCGGATCGTAGGCGCCCAGCTCCAGGAAATACTCGCGATTAATCGCAAAGAGTCCGCCCGCATGCGTCGGACTGCGATACGGCTCAGAGTTGTGGGCACGACGACGCTGCTCGCGGCGCGGCACCTCGTTCTCCTTGTACAGCATGCCCCACTCGAAGATGCCGCGGAAATGATTGTCGCTGCCATAGACCGGACGGTACTCGAAGGTCTTGTGATCGATGCCATCAATGATGGGCACGGTCATCACGGTGCGATCACGATAGATGGGCGCCAGCAACGGTGGCAGCCAATTGAGATTCACCTCACAATGCGCATCCAGAAAGACAATCACCTCACCTGCAAACGAAATTCAAATGTGAGCGAGAGGGAAATACAATATAAAGCCATGATTTGTTTTCTCTACTCTCTTAAGTCGTATTTAAATGCATGAGAATTGCATAGAGGGGCTCTACTTAACAGGCAGCCATTGAATGTCAAATTAACTGCATTCATGTTTGTTTGAAGGAAACATTCATTGGAACTTATTCAACTATGAGCGAGAGAGAGAGATATAAAGCAATTATAACTAATGGAATGCTCGGCCATTAATCGTTTTCTCTACTCTCTTAAGTCATATTTAAATTCATGAGAATTGCATAGAGAGGCTCTACTTAACAGGTAACTATTAACTGCCAAATTAACTTCATTCATATTTGTTTTAAGCTAATATTATTCTCTTTACATTGCCCAAGCTCACCTGCAACAAAATGTGAGCGAAGAGGGTAATAAAAAACCAATTACAACTAATGGAGTGCTTAGCCCATATTCGTTTTTTGTACCCTCTTAAGTCATTTTAAAATTCATGAGAATTGCATAGAGGAGATATACTTTAAAAAAAAAAATTATCACATACAACATTAGCTTAGTCTGTTTAGTTAAAAAAAAAAAACATTCCTTCTCCCTCTATTAGTTGGCCTTAGGCAAGTCTACACAATAAATCGTATTCTAAGGCCAATAATTTAGAATTTACTAATTAAACAGGTTTTGAAATTAGCATAGCTCAGTCGGCTACAGAAAAAATTCGTTTGGCTACTAAGTGTACTGCTTGATGAATACATATTAAATAAGATTAGACCCCTCCAGCTAGATAGCGCTCCTGCCACTCACCTGTAGCTTCCATGGCGCCACGAGAGCGTGTTCGTATGAGACCCTCGCGTTCCGTATTGCGTATGATCTTGACCAGGCCCTTGAACTGCAGGACATACTCGTCCAGTTTGCCACGCAGATTCTCCTTGTCCGAGAAATCGTCCACCAGAATGATCTCGTGCAGCATGTGCTTGGGCGAGCGATCGATCACCGAGTGCACGGTGCGCATCAGGACGGAGAAGCCCTCGTTGTGGAACACAATGATGACACTGGTCGGCGGCAGGTCGTAGGGATAGTCCCAGTGTTTGCACTCCTCAAGGCGTGTATCACGCACCGAACGATGCATCGATATCTCATCCGAGCAGACGATATTCATGCCATATTCCATTTCGGAGGCATCGGCCACGTTCTTCTTGTCGGGCGACAGAATGTGACCTTCTCCGTTCTCGCCAGGTCCGGTGCGTGGCTTCAGATCTCTGGGCTCGAAATTGCCCAGGCCTGCAAAAGCAAACAGTTGGCAGTTAGCAGTTGGCCAATAAAACTGATCGACACTTGAGCACACAATGCAGCGCAGATGTAAACAAAGATAATACAGACAACAAAAATAATATTAACAATTCGATCACACTTATCAAATGCAGACGTATTAGAATAATACGACGCTGCCCAGACCAGTTGTATTTGAATAATTGGCTAGAGCAAACAGCAAGGCTGCCAACATATGATATCATCGCTGGCCATTTGTGCCCCTTTCTTTGTCTACTCACCCTCCACTAGCGTGGGCACCTCCCGTGGCCGATTCTCGAGACGCTGATGACTGAACTTGGGTCCGCCGAAGCGCGTGTGATACGCCTCTTGGACGCGCTTGTGGTGATCGCTCCAGTTGGCCAGCAGATAGAGCAGCGGCAAGATGACCAGCAGGCACAATGCCATGCGGCAGATGCGGCCGCTGCGTATATTACTCACGCGCATCTTGCCCCAATTGTGATTCACAATACAATTTCGATGGGTTCACTCTACTTTGAATTGTCAATGCCAATGCCAATGCCAACGCCAAAGCCAATTGCAAGTCAAATTCGAGTTTTGTGTTGACGTGTCGACGTATCTCTGTGTTGGTGTTGGCGTCAACGTCAACGTCGGCGTCGACGTAGTCGTCGCAGTATCAGCAGCAGCTACGCGACAACAATGTAAACCCAAATCGTAAGAAAACGCCGAACAGCAATTAGCCCAGCAGCAGCTAGCGGCCGCTTAAGAATTTTTGATTTCAGATGCGATGTCAATGTACGAGTCTGCGAGTATGCTTCTATGTGTATGAGCCTGAAAGCAACTGAATGTTAGTGTGTTTGTGTGCGTGTGTGTGAGCAGGTGAGCATTCGCTGCGAAAGCGTTGATCAAAAGGCAATCAGCGTTAATGATAAATGAACACAGCCACTGAACACTCTTAAATGCCAGTTGAAAGCAATTACTGTTCGATGCGAATTGGTTTTTAATACTGCTGCTGCTGCTTACAATATGCAACACGACCGCAACAAATGCAAATGCAATGCAGCAATAACTGCAGTGTAAACGTAAACAAAAAAAATTGTTGCAGTATGCGGAACTGCCACGCGTTTGACGTTTTCTAGCACATCAGGTGGCACCTAGAGCACTTCAGCGCCAACTGGCGGAGGCGATACACAATAAATGCCGGCTGTTATCGTTAATCGGCACACAAAATATACTAACAAACAAACAACGCCACACAATGAATTCGTTACGAAGCTTACGTTTCCTTGCTCATTTTTGCGCTAACATTGCCGATGTTTGCGCATCGAACAACGCGACGTTACGTTTACATATGTTACGTGATTCTATGTTAAAAATTTACTATTTAAAAAATACGCGCCAAATGTTATTTTAATATTGCTTTGCCGAAGACGTTGCAATATTCGAGCAGTTATATATATTTACATCATTTAATACATAACAACAATTTTAAAAGATACAATTATACATATGTACAAATGTACAGATAGATCATATTAATTACAATGACTGTTTCCTACGAATACACATATTCCTATAATGAGAGTTCAAAAATTAAAAGTGGCGAATCGCCGATGAAACATGATGGCAGTCACATTTGCGAACCAATTCAATGATTCATCTTATTTGTATTAGTGATGGTCATAACACTGCCAACTCGACGGCGATCATAGAAAGGTTCCGGCTCATGCAGCGCCCCAATTGCCGTTACTGCAGCAAAGCCACCATCGCCGGCATGATCATTCATCGCGTGTCCAGCTCCTCGCAAATATTCTATGACCTCAGCGTCCACGTCTTCCTCATAATCTATTTGCATGGGTATCAGCTGATGATGCAGTCGACCGTTATTCACAGCCTGCGCCATTGACTCGCGACGTATGAGATATTTCATGATAACCTAAAAAATACCAAATTAATTATCGATATCAAAGTAATTGGCCAATCTACTGTGTTTATTAAGATAGCTGTCCTAAAACAATTAGATTGTTAAGCTGGCTAAAGTTGATCATATATGTATAAGAACATTCCTGTTATCCTCCCATATAAAATCACATATAACTATCAATACGTACCGTTGCCACGCTAGTTGTGATTTTGGTGCCGCCAGCAGCGCCGACTAGCATGCGCACATCGCCATTTTCATCGACAATAATGGAAGGATTCATGGAGGACATGGGCCGTTTGTGTGGATAAATGTAGTTGGCGGGCGAGGAGGGCACACCAAAGCTGTTGATAACGCCTGGGGTTGAGAAGTCATCCATCTCATCGTTCAATATGATGCCCGTTTGTGGTGATGCCACTTTGGCGCCAAAGCTGCCAGACAACGAAAAAAAAATAGGAATCGTTAGTCTTTCAAAATTAATTTAATATGCCCAATTGCATTTAATACTCACTAGGTATTGATGGTACTAGTTATGGATATGGCGTCGCCATTGCTGGCCAGCACATTCATGTGGGCGGTGCCGTGATCAGGCTCCACGGTGAAATTGGCGCCATAGTACATATAATCCTGCGAGGTTTTGTCATCCTTTATCAAGGAGCGCACGGTGTCGACCAGCTCGTGACCAAGCAACTTCTCCAGCTGCGCCTTTATGCTATCGCCATACTCCGGATCATTCTCATAGTCACCCAAATTCGTGCGCTGCCCGTACGCATGCTTGAAGGTCTCAATGACGCGCTGCCAGTAAATGGGCTCATTATCCGAATACAGCTCGCTCATCACGTTCAATATAAAGGCCAAAACCGGACCGCTCGATGGCAATGGTGTTGTATATAATGTAAAGCCGCCCGTAACATTTGCCGATATGATCCCATCGCTCTCCCAACGGCACCTGTGAACAAACAACACAAAATAAGGCAATTAAACGTAGGCTCCACTAAATACAACACTAACTAAACTGTCATCCACTTTTAGGTAGATGTGACCATAAATCTGGCTTATCTCCCATCGTTTCATAAAAAAAAAAAACCCAAAGCATAAGGCGACTCTACAATCACATTTACCATTGCATTGGCTAAGTCATCGCAGCAATAAACGATGTGATACACGTTAAATAAATTAAATTGACTTGGTAGCCACAGCTGAAGCCTAACGCAATTACGATATAGTGGTAAATAACAATGGATAGTTTTTTGGAACTTTTGTGACTAACTTCAAATACTGCACCATGAGAGAGCTGGGGAATTGTGAAAATATACTTCTATAGAATTAACAAGATCTAGCCTATATAAGCCCAACTAAGGCCTAGCTTAAGTCCCATGTATCCCCATATAACTTAAGAACTATCTGGTTTCGTCGTAAACTAAACTTGAAATTCTTTGCTTTTAGGACACTTGTGAACTGTGATACCATAGAATTGATAAGATCCTGCCAAACCAAACCCAACTAAGGCCTAGCTTAAATTCCATGTTGTAACGTATAACTTATCTGGACTATCTGGATTCTCTACCGTCTTGAAATTCTTTGCTTTTAGTACACTTGTGAACTTTGATACTTGCTTGTAATTTTTAAGATCCTCTAAAGTAATGATGCCGCCTAATTTTCTAATATCCTCAACGAACTTGACGCCCGTCTCGCCGCCATCGTATAGCTCGCCGGCGCCATTGTTGGCGATGCGCTCCAGTGTATTGGCCAAAGCGGGACGCTTCATATAATCGTGCTCCACATACGGCTCGCCCTTCTCGTTGAGGAACATTTTTGCCAGTGCCGGATCGCTTTTGATTTGTGTGATCTTGGAGCTGATAGCCGCGGCCAGATAGCGCGACACCACATGACCCTCGCGCGCCATCTTAATGGACGGCTGGAATAGATCCTTCCACGGCAAGCGGCCATATTTCTGATGCATCTCCCAGTAGCCAAGTATTTCACCGGGAACACCGCCCGCCAGTGCGCCCGTTACCTCCTTCTGGCCGACAAACATCTCCTTGTGGGCTGCAGCTGGGGCCGATTCGCGGGCAATGACCGTTTCCACTTTACGCGTACGCCGCGTATAAATGGTGGCCACAAACCCACCGCCGATGCCCATTGAGTGCGGCAACATGATGCCCTCGCAGAGCAGCGTCGCAATTGCCGCATCCACCGCGGAGCCGCCCTCCTGCAACATGTTTCCACCGACCTCGGCGCAGCCGATGCCATTGGAGACAACGGCTCCCGTAATATACCGCGTATCTCTCGATCTCAGTCCGAAGACAAGGCCAAGCGTCAGACCAGTGACCATTAGAGCGATGATCGATAGCCATACAAGGCTCTTCTTATTCAACAGCAGCCTGAAAATGATGTATAGAATATGAATAGATCAATATATATATATAAAGCTATATATATATATATATATATGTATGTGTGTGTATATAAAAATCGTGGGCAATTAATCGGGCGCCCAATTGAAGTGGTTTTCCAAGTGGATTAGCCGGGATTTCATTGATTGCCCAAGTTCTGTGCGACGGCTCTGATTAGACTAACCACGTTTGATTCTTATCGTTGTTCTCTTTATATTTCCTTATATATTTTTATATATACATATATATGTGTCGTAGCTAGTTAGAACAAACGAAAAAGAAATCAAAACCGAATTGTTTATATATACATATATATGTGTGGTAATATAAATTTGTTTTGCAACCCCTTTATATAGTGGCGCAGCGAATACAATCGGCCCAATAATTTTTATTTTATTTTATTTTTTTTTTTGTATTTTTGACCTTTGATTGATATATATGTATATATAAATATATTAGAATCGACAGTTACTTTTAAGCTCCAAGCATACTGAGTCCAATACACAGAGCATAAATACTTGATAGAAGTGCTATCTATTCTTTACACTCAGAAGGCAAACCTGAAAGCCTTACAAAAAAAAAAAAAACTTAATGTAAGTCTGAGGTAACATCTTTACAAAAAAGAAAAGTCTACAAGATCAGAATAGAACCATTATGGACCTATGTGATTTCTATCTGAGGCACTACCAGCTGTTCCACTCAAACAAAGAAGTTCACGAAGAGCTCAGAGTTCCTTGTGCTCATCAGGATATTTCTAATCCATATGCATCGCAAAGACAGAGACAAAAACCTCCTTTGCTATTTCCGATTCGATATATTTTCCATTAATTTCACGGTTATTACATTTCCGCTTTTTTTTCAATGAGACATTCCCGATATCGATGTTTATGTCTAGAGCTATAATCATTAGCTAATTATAGCCTAAATTGTCCAATCAAAATCAAATGTAGTCATTTATTCAGACCTTAAGATATCTAAATTCTTCGATTAGGTATGTGGATATTGGACTATTACTATTATGAGCGCATTCCTGATCGAATAATTTAGATATCTCAAGGCCTGATAAACTGACCACACTTGATTTTGATTCAACAATTTAGGCTATATATTCGTATATATATCAGCTATCAATAACTCGCTCAATGTGGTAATCAGAGTTCTTCAGAAATTGCTATTGGAGTATATAAGCTTTATCATTGCTGGACAAATTGAAAATTAGAGACGACCTTGATCCTCGATTGCAATTATTTATGGATATATGCATTATACACTTAATACTTTATGCACTTAAGAGTATAACTAGATTTACTTATGTATTTCAAAAGAATTCCGATATGTCTCTCAAGTACCATGACATTTCATATTCTTCGGCTCTGTCTAGTCATTCGGTATGCCTCGCTTATCAGCTAACATATATTGTATGAGTATATTTCTGGCGACATATATGGCCTATCGTAAAGATACGTATTTCTGCTGTGAGGCTCGACAATGCCATTAACTAGCAATTTTCCATAATTAACGGCGATTTTTTATACCCTATAATTATTTTAATGATTACGTTTCTGATAGCGCTCAAGGGTTCATTGTTTGTTATTATATATGGAACTAGATGGATGCTTATTGAATATAATGAATAACGATATTGAATTTAGCTATCCTTGCTTTAAAATCTAGAAATATCAAATCCTAACTTTATCTCAAATATAAATATGTATAATATATGTGTATATATATTCATATTGATCAGATTTATGCTGTTAACCGTTAGGATATATGTTAAGCTGAGATATATATTATATTGTAGCTATATAAGTACAGAAATATCCATTCAATTCAATCAGAACCTATTCACAGGGTATCTATCAGTCGATGACACTCGTGACTGTTCAATTTTGATTCTTTGTTTACCAATTTCTGATGACGTAGACTAAGGCGTAGATGTAGAGCACGCGACTAAATCCCAAGTGCTCGATGGTAAATCATAAGTCTATTAATTTCGAGCGCTTCAAGTGCCTCGAGGTACGTGGTTAAAATTCGAACTCCAACTAAAGATTTTTGCCCTGTCATTGGCATAAGCTCTGATGAAATCTCTTTGCCGATTAGGATCGAGGGCTATATTTTATGCATATCATCGGGTAGGTATTACCTAGTTATACTGAGCCATATCAATGATATTTGGCAGGTTTTACGATCATTCGGTAGTTCAACGGTAGCCGCTTTTATTAGTGGCCGGCGCTGCTATTTGATCAAAATTTATCAATCGTTAAATGTCGAAATATACATATACATATATGTATATATGACATTCCTGTAGACTTATCTTTGTTCTCTCAGAGAGCAGATATATATAGCTAAATAGTACTAAAGCTACTTATATGAGTCAAGGAATGCCACCCATTTTCGTAGTACCAAAAGAGAGCTTAAAGAAACCATATTTCAAAATGTGAATTTAATATATGCATATGAATTTTTATTTATATTCATCAATATAAATAATCCCCTAGCTTTTTATTCTAGTATTAAGAAAACAGACTTTAAATTTCAACTGTTTTTATTTTATTGCCAATGTAAATATTTAACACGCAATTAGCGAATGTTTGTTTTATGCTATGAACACTGGGACTGGGATTGGAAGAGGTAGACGTCACGTATCTATGTAGAGCGCTACAAATGGGTCTCGGATACATAACGAAAATCGTCAACATTTATTTAAAGATCTAGATTAAGAGATTCGCAATAGCAAAATTGATTTAAATAAAAATATAATTTATTATTTGAAATGCATTCTGAATCATAGGGCTTTTTGTAATAACTAGCGGAAATACCCGTTATAAAAATGGGAGGGAGCCCAGCAAATAGTTACACTAGGTACTTTTTCTGTTGTTTATTTTGATAAATTAGCTGGTAAGGGTATTATAGGCTGTAGGGCACCCATAAGGTACTATGTAAATGTATGCATTTGCCCAACTCCAGAGCGTAGGGTACTCAGAGATTATGTAGCTCATTCAGAAATATATAAGCTCGTATATATACATACATAATATCTTTGCGTTTAGAGAAGTGATTTTCGCAGTTATATATTATTTATAATGATACCGTAGTATTAGATGATCTCTTCTAATTTCTGACCTAAACTTTATATCTATTTATAGGAGAGCCAGCTTGGCTTTGTGCTCTCCGTTGCGGTTCTCCCTTTCTATGTGTCTCTCTTACTCTCTCTCTCTCTCTCTCTCTCTCTCAGTCTGACTGCGTATAATTGAAAGTTTTTAACCAAAGAATGAATTATTATTATTCGTAATTTGTGATTTCAGCTGTAATTATTTTTTATTCATTTTTTCTTGGTTTTTTTATTCTCCAATTTATTCAAGCGTTTTGTTTTGAACAACAAAATTGCTTTGCCACCAGCTACGTGTATCAATGTCAGAGGTAAAAAATTGCATTTACAAAAAATCACAAAAAAAAAAATCGGAAATAACTCAGAGTACAGCACGTTCAATAAATAGTAATGAAATAGCATTGTCAATAAATATCCTGAATATTTAGATAATAATATAATATTAATCACAATAATTAGAAATCGATAGTAATCGATAAACACATTTGCATAATCAATTAATAGATCTACAGCCTAAGCAACTAGACTCTCAAAGGCTATTCGAGGAAAATCGAGTTAAATAGAATCCGTAGATTATCTAAACGGCAGGAAGCAATAAAAATAATAAAGTAAAGGTATCGATATTTGGATAGAGATAAGAAACGATAATTAGCTTCTCCATTTAATGTATATTATACAATAGTTCTAAGATTAATATTGTTCTTTATCTGCACCAAATAAAAGGTATCCGGCAGTCCAGTCTAATAAATTAGTCAATTACTTATTTCCCGAAGTGGAAGTGAATTGGAGTAAGAACAAATTATCGATATATGTTAGCTCAAACATTCTTAAGCGTTTTAGCGGCAATTACTTTGTTACCGTTAGCCATTATAAAACGATAAAAGACTATTTTACACTTAATTGTTGGCCGTTATCTTCATCTTATCGGAGGCAGCACCTAACATATATCCATAAATGCCTTTATTTAGCATTCGCTTAAGCGGCGCAATAATCCCATTTTGCAAATATTTCTAGCACATTGTAAATTGCGAAGGTTGCACTTTGACCACCTGAATATATCTGGTATATAATATATAGAGATGGTATCCCATAACATGGCCCATAAAACTGTCTAATTACAATTACGACATGGCGATAAGTTAAAGGCGCTCTGTTAAAAACTCTTAAATATACTTGCCGTGCTCCTCAGATAACACCTTTCTTTCTTATAGCTATACTATTTACCTATTATAATTCTCCCTCTCTCACTCTCTCTCTCTCTCTCCCTCTCTCTCTCTTCCTCTCCCTGTTTCTCTCTTGCTTTAACTAGCTGCCGGCTCAAAAGGAATTCTGAAATCTTGCTCACATTTCAACAAATTTTTAGTTACATATTACTTCTAATTAACAGGTAGTGCTGTATTTGACGTTATTAGACTATGCGCTACCCTGTACATGTTGAAGTCGCCGTCTATAAAGCAATGTGCTTAGATATGTGAACTCCTAACTATATATATAGACGCATAGCTCACATATTTATTGAAATGAACTCTTATATAAGCTACAGAGAAAGCTATTGTTTAACGAATTGCTCATATTTTATTAATATTGAATAATTATGGTGTGGATTATCTGAAATCTCTTAGTTCAGAAAACAAACAAACAATCAAACAAAAACTAAAAGCAACTTTCACAATAAATCTCCCTCACATATGCATATATGTATGTACATATGTTTATAAATAATTTTTGATGATTTGTCATTCTCACAATTACAGGGTATTAGCCAGCAAGAGAACTGTGATTGACTATGATACGTGTATCGTGCAAATACCATATATGATTGTCAAGTTCTGTTTGCGTTTCAATCATCTTTTGTTGTTGTTRGTTCTGATACACTTATGATGATATACTTGATGTAGTTTTTGTGTGTGTATGTGTGTGTGGATGTTAAAGTGCGAGACAGCCAATAGTGTTGACAAGACAAACAGAAAGGTAAAAGCAATTAAAACTTATACCTCTGGCAGAGGAAAGAACTATGAAGTGGAAACTGTCTCGTTATGGATCGAAAATCGATAACGATTGAACTTTGGCGCACTGAATTTTCCAGCTATGGCTAATATAAAAAAAAAAAAAATAATAAAAAGCTGCACTTAAAATACAACATTTTCGCATATGTACATTTATAATTTTTTTTCTCATTAACATTAAAGTCGAATCGACTAATCGACTGGAAATGGATTGATTCATCTACACATACAGATGTACGTCCATATGTATGTATATGGACATATGTATATAGGTATAAATAGTAACTGTAATGATACAGCTGAGCAGTCTTTGGGATTGGATAGTAAAGTTCTATGAATTCTATTGATAGAGCCAATGATGATGACAATTAATGGAATCATATAACACTTACCTCATTTTGTAGAATTATTTTAGCTCCTCACAAATTACTAAAACACTGAAAACTAAAAGCAAAAAACAAAAAAAACAAAAGCAAAAACATAACAAAAAATATAAACCAAAATTAGTAAATAATTTATGCAATTCACAAGCAAATTATGCAAATGTAAAATGGTAAATAAAAAAAAAAATCTGCACTAACAATGTCGCGTTGGAGGAGCCGCTTTATAAATGCGCCGACTGCAAATATTCTCAGTTGCCGTTAGAGGGAGCGAGCTAACTGAGCACTTGTCGCGCTTAGCCTCGACTGATGTGCTTGGACGAAGTGAGGCGCCGCATTACAACTTTGTTTCGATTCCATTCGATTCGATATGTGTTTTATTTTGGTTTTATGTGCGCAAACACATGCATGCACTTCTATATTTTTTAAGTAACTAACTGTTCTTTATCGAAAGAGCCAACACAGTTTACACACAGCCAAACACCCACACACACACACACATGCACACAAATACCTGCTCTTCGCAATAATATTTGCAGAGAGTCGCTCTTACGCTCACTAGTTTCAAATTGTGAGATTGCGGAAAAAATGAAAATGAAACTACCAAAAGCAATAACAGTAATACACACATAGGCACACACACGCGCGCGCACTCAGGCCTCTAGGCATTTTTGCGTGTATGCGTGTATGATCTGTACAACTTTGCAGCTATCTGCGCTTAGCGCAAAGCTAAGCCCGCCTGCCGACTCAGTATAGTTCTGCACTGGACACACGCATGTGCAAGCCTTCTCTCTGTCTCTCGTCTGTGTGTATGTGTGTGTGCGTGAGGGAGAGAGCAAAGCTAAAACTTAACCCAAGCTTGATAAACAGCTGTTGCATTGTTGTTTTTGATCGAAAACAGCTGGAGCTGCTGAGCCAGCCGTCAATAGCATAATAAGCACATAAATGGATAAACATAACGGTTTCACACTAAAATTTGCCTTTAATTTGTAGCAGATGCAGATGCAAAATATTGATTCCTATATGCAAGGCGAACTGTTCACTTTAACGCCAACTTTTTTTTTTTTTGGGTACTCCAATTGCAAAGCGAATGTGTGTTCGTGTTCCTCCTCTTGTCCATTGTGTTATCTATTGTGTTCCAGTTTGTTTCGTTTCGTGTCATTTTGTGTTGTTGTGTCGTTGTTGTTATTGTTATTCTTGTTCTTCTTAATGTTGTTGCTGTTGTTGTTGCTATGATTCGTTTTTTGTTTTTGGTTGGATTCCCTCTTCAGGCCGTTTCAACGCCAACGTCCCATTGGACCAGCCACCTTGACAGTGTATTTGGTGGAGCGCCTCTTAGCCTTCATCTGCTGCTCCTGTTCGATCATCTTCAATGCAGCAGGGCCAAGGGCCACATACGGCATATTGGGATCGGGCACGGTGTGCAACGGCAAGCACTGCTTGCTCATCCGCTGAAAGTTCGGCAACGGCGCGTTCTTCTTCTCGTGAGCGAGATCCGTATAGCCCAGCTTGCGGCGCTGCTGCGGTGTTATCTTGTTGCAGTGGCAGAGCTGATGGATTCGCAATGCCCGCTCCAGATCGAAGATGCGATCACAGAACTTGCACTGTTTGCCGGGTGGAATGGCCGTCAGTGCTGTGGTGCTCTCCCTCAGACGACGTCCCCGAAATCGCACCTTAAAGTCATCATCGTGGGTGCGACGATGTGCCCCAAGCAGCGACTTAATGTGAAAAATGGCGCCGCACGAGCTACAGCTATATGTGGGCTTATGCATATGCTTGATGCTCATCTGGCTGCGTCGATGGGATTCGTTGCCCAACTGACGTTCGTATTCCTCCTGTAGAATACCGCGCATCGAGCGCGCCAATTTTAGCGCATCATTCTCCTCCTCTTCTTCGAGATCATCACGAGGGGATAGACCATTGCGACGTGGCGTCTGTATGAAAGCTGAAGGCAAAACAAGCCAGAATTTATTATTATTCTTCTTCCTAATGGAATACGTTAAGTCTCTATGCTACCAAGAATTACTCACTTTGTACGGCACCCGTTTTTTGGCGTGAAATGGTAGACGTGTCGTCTTTTAATTTGGATTGTGAAGATCTTTTGTTGCCTTGCTTGCCGCGCCTGTGCAGGCCGCCGCTGCTTCCGTCGCTGGACCGTTGGCCGCGTCTTCGGATTGCTCGCATGTTGACCGTCGATTCGGACAAATAGTTCAGTTTGCGTTCGACCGTCTTCTGAGCGTTCTCCATGTCGGACTCCAGCTGGTCGTAGGTCTGCACTTTCATGTTACGCTGATATGACGCGATTCTATTTTGCTTCATATTGATTGTTGGTATATGTAAATCTCTATTGCTTTTATGTTGCTACTGTTGGTATAATCTTGTACGAACTTTGTGGCCGGCAAAGCTCATGAAATAATAAAATTTCTTAAAAATTACTTATAATAATGTCACTTCCCCAAGTGTAAAATATAAACTGTGTGTATATAAACGCGTGTAAAATATAAACTGAGACTACACACAATGAAACCAAATGCAGCGCATGTTGAAATCGGCTCAGATTTTTATTTCAAATTTCGTAGTGCTCAATAATGCCGTATCAGTTGTACACATAATATATCTGATAGATGGCGCCACATCTAGTATTTTCTAATTGGATATATTTATTTAACAAATGCAAATTTACTTAAAGCTGATTAGGTTTAAAATTTTGCAGTAATTATTTTTAAATTTTTTTTCATTTAATATTTAAACCATTTTCAATCTAATTTTATTAAAACTACAAATTATTTCGATATGTTATCTGTTCACGTAACGTTGCTCTCTTTGCGCTTACGTTGCTCATTCGTGCGCTAACGCGCTACTACGTGCCTGTTACTCACGGCTGGCCGCGTGCAATTTTTTTTGGCAGCTAACAATAAAGTAATCGCAGCCCGCGCGAAGTTACCAAAAATCTTGCGATTACATACATTTTGCCACGAAACTGTGCAAACTGTTCGCAATTAAAGAAAATTTTGTGTGGTGCTTTATACTGTCGTTATTCGTTGGTGTTGTGGCATTTAGAATATGAGTGATACGCGTGAACAGATTTTGGAACAAATTAAAGTACAAGGCGATCTCGTGCGTCAACTGAAAGCGACGAAGGAGTCCAAAGAGAAGGTCAGTACGACATACATAATGAATGCCATAATGTCTATGCAAATTATTTCCCCATATTTGTATGCATAGCAGTGTATGTAAGTGTGCATGCAGGCCAAACCATTCCCATAGTGCACATGTACACATACACATTGTTTTGCCGTCCATGGATATGCGTGTAGTTTTGTACATGCTGTCTCTACATGTGTGCGTGTTTGTGTGTGTATTTAGGCCGCTCGTCATGCGTTTTTAACCCTTTGCCGTTCATATGTACATACGTACGTTCATCTGAATCCTGTTGCACTTCTATCGAACTACTGTAACTTTATTATATATTTCATCAGCCGCGCACACATGCGTATTTACGCATGTATGTATGAGCACAACATAACGTATTCGACTCGTCGACATCCGTTACGCCACTCCGCTCACCGCTCTTACCATTCGAGCCGCGTTGGCAGCCTCTCATTATTGAATTTTAGCTCTGTAATTAGATTGCATGCACACATAACAGAGAGCTCAATCAGCAGTGGCAACAACAAAAGAGAACTTTCACATTTGAGTACTGTTTTTTGGCATTTGTAACAAGAGTTGTTGTTGTTGTTGTTGTGCAGTGCTGGCATTTCTTAATGGCAACAACAGAAGCTGTTTATGAGAAAAAATAGCTTACAAAAAGTGCACATATTGGTCATTTTTATTCGATATTTTATTCATTCTCAATAAATATATAAACGTGCGATTTATTGTAAAAAAAAAAAAAATAAATAAAAAAAAAACAGATTCAATCGGTACAAAATATAAATGTATATACACGATATTTTTGATTGGAGTCATTAACTACATAAAAGCAAAGTAAAAGTTAAAACAAAATTGTTATAAGAAATGAATCATTCAACGTTGAATTCACTTGAGCATATAATTCGATAATTATAATTTAAATATTTGAGTGAGTCATAGAGAAAGTTTAGCTTATTTCAAAATAGCTAGAGTAACCACAATGCACTCTAGAGAAAAAGCCAAACGGACAGCACTGCTGCCGCTCACATTCCCACTGTAAATCAACGTTTGGCCTCTCAGTCAGTCGGCATCGCCAGCCTTGAAGCAAACCACCGCAAGCTTTTTTCTTACCATTACCTCTTCCTCTCCTTGTCGTCATCAGCTATTCCGTTGCGTTTGCCCCTTTTTTTCTTATATTCGTTTTAAAATAATGAATGCTATTGTTGTTCTTGTTGTTGTTGTGTTTGTTGTTGTGATATTTTGTGCTCATGACCGACTGACTGCCATGCGAATCGCTGTTGCTGCTATTGCTGGTGCTGCTGTTGAAACCGGCTCAGCAACAAATGACGCAGCCTCCGTTAGTTGTCTATGTGCGCGTAAGCAGCATTAATGTTAAAGTAATTGTTGCCATTAATTGCTATTTTATGCGTTCATTGCATTCAGCGGGCATCAGCTGTTTTTTGGCTTTTGCGAAGCGCTAAAAATATATCGATATATCGATATGGGGGATTATAATATAAGCTCATCATCTGGTTTGATTATTTGAATTACGACTACAAATTGTTAGGGGAAATATATTAAAACCAATTAATATGAATATTGGGATATTTAAATTTGGTTATGAGACACATAAATTCGATGAATATCAGATTGGGTCGAAATAAATCGCATGCAAAATGTCCTTGAACTCGCCTTTGTCGTGATCCAATTTCGAGTTTTCGAAATTTCGAACTTCAAGTGTACAAAAGTGTGAAGTGTGAATGAGAGCGGGACAGAAAGAGAAGTTAAAGAGAGCAAGAAGGCAAACATTTGTATGCCCAATTGCAGAAAAAAAAAAAAAACAGGTCATGAACGGCGGTCAAGAGAACGCAATGATTTTGTATAGCTTTCGATTTAAATATATACATTTATAGCAAGGATCTTTTGTTTACTTTTCTACACCCGCACACACGTACACATACACATACACAAATATACTAACACACACGCATTCATTTTGTACATTTAACATTTTCACGTAGTTGCAACAAGTTTAAGAAAATAAAAAAAATTTTAACAATGCGGACAAAAAGTTCGATAAACGCTAATCGGTATTTTGTTTGTTTGTTTTTTTTTTTTTTAATTTTTTTTTGTATTACTCATTGTTGTTGTTGTTTATTAGGTTTTTTAAGCGCCAATGCAAATAATTTGCTGCTTCACTCGAAAGCAATTAGTAAAGACATACAAACAAAACGAAAGAAAGGCAGAAAGAAATATCAAAGAGTAAAAGTCAAAACGAAAATGTTGCGTTCGATTGGCCGCCAGTGGCGCTGTAGTGTTGCGTTTCAGTGCCCTTGCCTTTGTCCTGCCCGCCAGCAGCTGCCGCTGGCGCCATCTAGCGAGGGCCGTGCGATATCAACAAGCGTTGGACAACAATTGAAAGCACAACAACAACAACAATTACAAGAACAGCAACAACAACAACAACAAATGCATAAGGTTAGCATCTAAGTGCACTATACAAATTAGCAGAGAATTAAACCGAAAATCATATATCTATTCATTTTGTATTCCATTGCAGATCGATGAGGAGGTATCACGTCTGCTGGCCCTAAAGGCCAAACTGGGCGGCGATGCGACACCGGCCAACCAGAAGTTCACGCTAAAAACGCCAAAGGGCACGCGCGACTATGCGCCACAGCAGATGACGCTGCGCCAAGGTGTGCTGGACAAGATTGTGCAGGTGTTTAAGCGTCACGGCGGCGAGGCTATTGACACACCCGTCTTTGAGCTGAAGGTTTGCATTTGATTGATTGATTAATTTGTTCATGATTTTGATTAAACGATTTGCAACTTGCAGGAAGTATTAACAGGCAAATATGGCGAGGACTCAAAACTGATTTACGATCTGAAAGATCAAGGCGGCGAAATCTTATCAATGCGCTATGACCTGACCGTGCCGCTGGCACGCTATCTGGCCATGAACAAGATCTCCAGCATTAAGCGTTATCACATCGCCAAGGTCTATCGCCGTGATAATCCCGCCATGACCCGCGGTCGCTATCGCGAATTCTATCAATGTGATTTCGATATTGCCGGCACCTACGATCCGATGCTGGCGGATGCCGAGTGCGTCAAAATTGTTGCCGAAGTGCTGGATACTTTAGACATTGGTGATTATGTGATCAAGCTGAATCATCGCCAACTATTGGACGGCATGTTTGAAGCGTGCGGTGTGCCGGCGAACAACTTCCGTGCGATCTGCTCGGCTGTGGACAAGCTGGACAAGGTAAACAAACAAAAACAAAGAATATAAATACAAATTCCAGAGACTCACAGATAAAATGTTGATTTCTCGATTTTAGTCACCGTGGGCGGATGTGCGCAAGGAAATGGTGGATGAGAAGGGTCTCGATGGCGCCACAGCTGACAAGATTGGCGAGTATGTGCGCCTGAGCGGCGGCGCCGAGCTCGTTGAGCAGCTGCTGGCGGATGAGAAGCTAAAGGCTGTGCCCAATGCCGTCAAAGGGCTCGAGGGTATGCAGCTCCTGCTGAAATACTGTTCACTTTTCGGACTGGAGGAACGCATCAGCTTTGATTTGAGTTTGGCGCGCGGCCTCGACTACTACACGGGCGTCATCTACGAGGGCGTGCTGAAGGCAGAGCCCAGCGCTCCAGCCTCACCAGCTAAAGAGCTCCATAATGGGGATCAGGCGTTGGAGCAAAGCAGCACTGTTGGCTCGGTGGCAGGTGGCGGACGATATGACAATCTGGTTGGCATGTTCGATCCGCGTGGCAAGGCTGTGCCCTGTGTGGGCGTCTCCATTGGCGTGGAGCGCATCTTCTCAGTGCTCGAAGCCAAATTCGCGGCCAGCAAGGTGAAGTTGCGCACCAACGATGTGGAGGTGTATGTGGCCTCTGCCCACAAGGGTCTGCACGAGCAGCGTCTGCGTGTGCTCAACCAGCTGTGGAATGCGGGCATCAAGGTGAGCCAACGATTACAACATTGCCATATTCCAAGCAAACTAATATCGAATGTTAATCAATTCACAGGCGGAGCACTCTTACAAGCTAAATCCGAAGCTATTGGTCCAGTTGCAGCACTGCGAGGAGCATCAAATACCCTTGGCCATTATCTTGGGCGACGCCGAGCTGGCCCAGGGCATTGTCAAGCTGCGCGAGGTGACGACACGGCAGGAGTCCAATGTGAATCTAGCGGATCTGCCCAACGAGATTCGTCGCCGACTCCAAAAATAGACTAGAAACCATCCTCGCCTCTCTGGCCAACTCACGCAAAGTTTCGATACTACAATTACATCGCTATGAATTTTTTTTGCTTTATTTATCAATGCATAAACTGTGTTCTTTTTTTTTTTTTTTTTTTTTTTTTTTTTTTTTTTTTTTTTGTTTGCCCTCGTTTGCTGCGCCGTCGAACGGATCCATGTGCTACTATATTATATGAACCTACCATTTAATTGTAGGAATAAGTTATAGCAAATTTATACCAAAACTGGAAACTAAAAATAAACTGCTAACGCATTCGCATTTAATCAATAGACAAAAATATTTAAACACAACTAAATATAAAGAAAATACTAAATGCGATCTGGATTTAAAAGTTTTGTTTATCTTTGGATAAAAGGGATTTGAGTATAGCACCGAAATGGATTAGTAGCTTCGGATTGCCGAAGATTGCATGCAGTTCAGTTAGACTGCTCCAGTCGGGAGTATCCGACTAGCAGATACCAGCTCTCGTTCGCATTCCCCTAGGATTCACAACAAATTTCTTTGCTTGCATGTTTGTTAATGTTAATGTTTAATCTCACAAATAAATTCTATATCAACATTTTTTTTTTTTGATTATGTGATTTGCCCGCATGCGATGTTAATTAATATGAATGCAAATGTATGTAATCAAATATTTCACGTCTCATTATATAAGCACATATAGTTTTTCGTCTTGTAGTTCAGTAAGTCTTCGGTTGAGAATAGTCAGTCGGATATATGTAAATGTCTGTATCACTTCTCAGGGATGTCCTTATTGTCGATCATTTTATCTGCATCACTTCCGTCCACACGTTCGGTATCCGGCTCCTTTAGAGTATTCGCATCTTCAGGATTTTCGTTGAACAGTGAGTTCCTTTTGTTCAGATAGCGACTCGCTGTTAGTGAGAGTGCGTCCAGAGAGTTTCCCACATGTTCCACAAAATTGAGTATGCTGACCAGCTGACGATTAATATACATCAGCATCTCAATTTCCCTCTCATTTTCTCTGATTTCCGCATCAACGTCCACGGTATTTGCCATTGGTCTCCTTATATACAATTTTTAAATTCGATAATAAATTTTTTATACAATTTTGAACAGTCAAAGAATTTGTTGTTTCCCAAGTAAAACCAGTTTCGTAAGTGATTCCTAGTCAGGCACAAGTCATGCGATGAAACTTTTATTTCCTATTCCAACATGAAGTTTAAGGAACAGAGCTCCTCACTCACTCTCCATTATATGTACCTTTTATTATTTCTTTATATCAGCTTTTTTGTGGGATCTCCATTGCTCGGAATGTAGATAATGGAACGGTCAATTGATAGAGTTGAGAAAGATAGTGTATTATTCCTTTCTCCTCTTCTCTTTTTTGCTCCCGATACTAATCTATCCACAGATGCATATGTACATATATTGTTTTTCCTTCACTCTCTCTATATATAGAATATATGTATATGTATATCTCTCTATCTATATTTGTCTACCTCATCCCAATTTCTCTCTTTCACTTCGTTTAACTAGCTCTCCATTAATCATCATCATCATCTCGGCATCTATTGCCCCGTCTCAAGCTCTGTSTATATTTTTTACTTTCTCTCTCTACCATTTTTTCTCCCCCTCTCTCTTTCTCTCATTTTATAGTCTCTCTTTATCACCATATAAATCTTTATACTTCTCACTCTCTCTCTTTCTCGCTATATATCTATCTCTCTTTCTATACCCCCTTTCCCACCTAAATTTGTTTACTTTTTCCATCTCTCTCTCCCTCTCTCCCTCTCTCTCTCTCTCTCTCTCCGTCTCTCCTTCTTTTCTCTTTCTCCATCGCCAGTCAAATTCTCAATTGATCTACTACTCTCTCTGCCCGCTCGCTGCTCCTAACCCAAGCTCCTTTCTATGCACTTCTCAGCGTATCAGACTAACTGTAAAGGACAACATTTCCCTGATTATACAAATACTGTGTAACACGCCATCATATTTGTGTTCTTTGCAGAGCGTTGACCAGTTAAAGGCAACGCTTCAGCAGCAGCAGCATCGACAACCACAACAAGACCAACAGCGAGAGAGTCTCATAGGGCCAGAGGATGCCGGAAACTCTGCCAGCAACCGCAACGGTGACCGCCAGCAGCATCGATTGCACAGTTGCGGTGCTTAAGGTGCCCACGCCCACGATGCAAATGCCGCAGGCGTGCAATCTACAGAGCCTCGGCATCATAATGGAGCCGAACAATATCAACATCGAGCTCAATCCTGCGGCAACAACGTCCAGCCTAAAGGTGAGTGCCTAAGCCATTCGATAATTGAGTTCAGAGTATGGGAATTTCGAGGCGCAAGAATTTCAATTTGACTGTATTGAAATACCTATATAATCTATTATAAGCAAGGTTAATATATTCATCAAATAATCAGTAAGGAATAATGAGGAGATGCCACCACGTCTAATCTGTACTTAAAATGAGATACTACTTTGATATAGAGATAATTGTTCGATATTTATCTTTTATCTATCTAGTTTTAAGAGTTGAATGTCTAATTGAGATTATTTTGAATGCAGTCGTCCTCAGCCGGTCTTTCACCTTTGCATCAAAGTTTCTTCCAATAGTCGAATCACTTCCAAAACTTAAACCGAGATACTCCACAGAGGGCGCCCAATTTTCCGATAAACATTATGTCTGCATGAATTGGATTTGTTAATATGAAGTGTATACAATCTGATGGGGATTTCTTTGAGTGGATGTTATCTTTAATATACTTGTGGCAAAGTTTTCGAATTGTCGTTTGGGATCTTGAGATTATGCTTTGATGTCATTGGTTTCTTCCCAGGCATATCTTCGTAATGTCCATCCATCCATTCTATTAAGATTCGAACACATCAAGATACAGCCCTCTAATGCGTTTAGGTAATAAAGATATCTTATAGATATAAAGATATTATATAAAATATTACCATTTTCGACATTTGGAATAGGGAATTTGATGTTTTCGTACTACACTACCACACTATATTTTACAATATCTACCCAAATACTTTTTATACGAAGTAAAGAACTTTATAAAAATATCAAAAGATGTTGGCAAAACATTTTCCATTCTTGAAAACGTGTTGACCTAGATATACCACATTTCTATAAAATGGCATCAACATCTTTAGCTCTCCGTGCAACATGTGCGTATTTAGATTATTAAAAGTACAATACGATATGACCAGAGCCAGGAATAGTCAGTTTTATTTAACAAACTAGATAATATTCAATCAATTAATGCGGATTTAGAATTGTGGGCGCACTGATACTACGGGATAATTCTACCGCTCGCCTTCGGAACCTATAGATAGGTGGGGCGGATTCGACTAGCCAGCATATTATATGGTATACGTGATCGATCAATGTGGCAAATGGCTCATCAATGCTTGGTCCAAAGAGCGTGGGTGTCAACGGTACCTCTTCGTACTGCTCGGACCAAGTGTGCCGGCCAAAGGCATCCATCACAAAATTTGGTAGCATACGTATCAATTTCTGAGCATATATCGACGTCCTGAAGTCGATCGGTATCCGTTCGCAGAACTCTTTGAATGTTAACCTATCGCTCGAATCATAACTGTCCGAAGATGTACTCGACGTGCTCTCGCTTTCGGTACTAAACAGATCCTCCAGTTTCGTCGGGCGTGGCGGCATAATAAAGACACAATCATTCTGTGCGCTAGGTTCCGATCTACTTTCACTAGCAGAGCTTGGAGTTGACTCAGGCTGCGATACTCCGGACCCCTCCACACTCGACTTGCTGGTATCACTGGATTGCCTTTCTGTGTGGCTTTCGGATGATGTTCTAGGCTCGATGCGCAGCGAAAAGCGATTGCATTCATTGGCATCGTAACATATCTTACGTACCGTATTCTCGATGACGGATCTACGGACGGGATCGTTTGGATTTTTCGATATGAACATCAGATAGATTTCGCCCTTTGGTAGAGTTGGTTCGCTCTCTAGTTGGTGCTGAGGGTTCTGCTGGTAGCGCCTCTCCAGCCGGTCGATGATGAAATCATTAAAATGCTTACTCATAATTCTCAATTTTGATACAAACTAAAAGCAAAAATAAATTAAGAAAAATGTTTAAAAATTGTAAAATTGTAAAAAAAAAATGAAACTGAAAAATTTGAAGCGTGCGAACGGTGACAGAGAAAATGAATAACTGAGTTCCGCTCAGAAAACTTTTGGCATTTACAATGTTTACCTTTCGGCCTACTTTGTCTTGTTATATGTGAATATAAAATAACTACATATAACTAACTATAATTTAGGTATATTTCACATATGTAAATACGCCTGTAAATACTTTAAATATGCAAGAATTGGTCTGAAATATGTTTTGATTTCGCTAATGAATTAAAGTTTCTCAGCTGTATAGTTAAAACACTAGCAATATGCTTAGGCATACTTTCCACCAACTTTTCAATATGGACATGCTGAAGCTTGCTCCACTCCACCTGGACCCAACACCATCTCATCCATCCCAGTCGATGGTGTATCCTACTTTGGGAGGCTTTTTTAAACCAAAGCCCAAACATTTTGGATTGTCGATCCATTTCTTGACGGCTTTCGCTTTGTGCTTGGGGTCATTGACCTGTTGAGACAGGACTGCTTCCTCGGGATACGCGCTTTTATCTACTGTTATATTCAGATAGTTTTTTCTTCTGCATAATTCCATCGATCTTTACAAGCCGTGATTTGTAGCTATCTCGTCTACGTGAATTTAATGATCTTTGCATCATATATACTCTTCATATGTTACATATGTACATACATACATACATTCATCCAGTATGCCAGTATATATATACATATATCCCCATACATACATTTAGCTATCATATTTACATTTACAAATGTGACTAAAAGCTTAAATTCCCTAGACATACAAATGGCTATATATGTATGTATGACATACATTGTATGTACATAAATACATACATACAGCTGTTTTATAATCCATTATGTCTATCGCTTCTTCTACTTCTGCTTTTTTGCATTTTTTTTCTGCTGCTTCTATTATTATTTTAGAGTCCTGCTAATGGATCTCTCCCTGTTGGCAGTTACTCATTTCTGTGCGTTACGTAATTAAATTACGCACACGAAAATGTCAAACGTTCGCGCGGCTGCCGCTCGCATCGTTTTTACACTCGAGTTGAGTCCGGCCCTTGCGACAGAGCTCCGGCTACTACTACGGATGCTGCTGCTGCTGCTCCTGCTGCTGCTGCTGCTGCTACTGTGGTCGCCGCATTTTTCATGCTTCAGTGCGTGCAATTTGGTTTCAGCGGTGGGGTGGGGCGGGGATGCTGGCAAAGACAGGGGCCGGCCGCATGAAAAGGGGGAAACCGTATGCCGTCTCATTCAAATGACCTAACCCAGGATGCGTTGCTGATTTTGACAGGCAGCGGGCTGAACGATGAACGGTGGCATCGACGTCAACGTCGCTGTCGGCGTTACCAAGTCGCAGTTAATGCTGTTTTAATATTAATTTCATTTCTATTTTGTTTTGTTTCGTTGCGTTTCATTCGCGACTTTCCAACTTTTTTTTGTTCTCTAGTTTTTTACGTTCCGTTTCCCATTGTTGCTGCTGTTGTTGTTGTTGTTGTTGTTGTAGCAGTTCTTGTGTCATCCTGCGCTGCGCTGTCTTCGTTCCCTTTGTCATTGACATGTCACTGCAGGCGCAGCGGCACAGTGGCTCAATTGTAATTGTTAGTAACTGAAATTAATTGAAAAAGGAAAACACGATTAGTTATTACAGCATGTAACAAAAATAAATATATATTACATTGCCTTAATATATGTGTATGTATATGTGAGTT